ATCGCCACCGAAAAGACCGGTTCCTTAAGTCCCGCCACTAATGCCAGAAGCAGTTCAACGCAAGTGACGATCAATATTAAGGTCTGTATTAATTGCTAATATTTGTGGTAATTGTTTAGATAATATTGTTATCGTTTGGTGTATAGGATGTCAACGACAATATCCCACACTTTGATCAGGACTTATATTACGGGTCAGTGTCTGAAAGCGCACAGAAGGGCACATCCGTAGCCAAAATCAATGCCCGAGATATCGATTCAGGAATCTATGGGACGACAGGTATTCGTTATACAGACATCAGAGGAGAAATGTCTTCCGCCTTGAATTTGGATCCAATTTCCGGTGTCATAACTGTCAAGACATCGGAGTATAAGTTCGATCGGGAACTGTCGGCCCAGCACTTCCTTATAGTGGAGGCCCGCGATGCTAACGGCGCCGGCAATCGAAATACCGTTCAATTAGTGTTGAATATAACTGATGTGAACGACTGTCGGCCCAAATTCTTTCACGACAAATACGAGGCCCGGGTCTATGAAAACAGCCATAACTTTGAACAGCCCTTACGTATCGCCGCCTTCGACGAGGACGCCATCGGAACAAAGAATTCAGAGATTAGATACCAAATACTTCCCACCCATGAGTTAAACCAATTGAATCAATACTCAAACAATTTTACAATTGACGAGATTTCAGGCCTTTTGGGCATTCAAGAGCCCCTGGATTTTGAGTCAATCCCTGGCCCTAAAAGTGAGCCCATTATACCGTAAATTATAATATAAACTCAATTTTAATCTGTTATTTGAATACAACTTCAGGTGATTCTCGTAATATAACGATAACAGTGCGCGCCTACGATTTGGGTGAACCGCGCCTACACTCCGACACACCAGTCATTATCCATGTCTACGATCGCAACGACTTTGCGCCGGTATTCACGAAAAATTTGTACACAAAGTCCATACCGGAAGACATAAGAGACGGGTCGATGGTATTGCAAGTGTCGGCGCTGGACGGCGACCACTCGACCGTCAATTCGCGAGTTTATTACCGAATAGTTTCGGGCGCTTTCGACAAATTCATAATCGACGCCAACTCGGGTGTCATATCAGTGGCCACCGGCGCTAACTTAGACCCCGATCGCTCCCATCCCAAGCAACTCTCATATCTCATTCACGTCATGGCTCTGGACTCGAGTTTCGGTTCAGAGCAACGGTCGTCCACCGCGAGCGTCAACATCACTATAGTTGACGTCAACAATAAGGCTCCAGAATTTGGTGACATTCCGGTGGCTGTTGTGCCCGAAGACGCACCCAATCAGCACTTCGTGACCAGAGTTACGGCAACCGATTTGGACGACAAACCAGTTCTTCGGTATTCTATAGATTACGCTCGAAGTGAAGCCCGCAATGAGTTCGGGGCTACAGTTGACTACAACCTGTTCGCCGACAGCTTTACCATTAATCCATTGGATGGGACGGTAAGAGTTGTAAAGATCCTCAACCGTGAACTCTGGGATCAGATTAAGCTGTATGTAGTGGTGGAGGACATCGCCGCCGCAACTAAAGGGCAAAAAGCCAAAGGTATAGTCAACCCGTTAATTAAAAGCCGATTAATTTATTTTCAAATCTATTCTTACAGCCATACTAACCGTACAAATATCTGATGTCAACGACAATAGACCACAATTTCTGCAACATTTATACCGGGGAATAATCACTGAGAACGCTGTGGCCGGCACTCCCATCCTCACAGTCAATGCAGACGACGCCGACACTAACAAATCGGTCATCTATTCACTGGAAGGCAGACAAGAATTGCTGCAATTAATCAAAATAAATCACAAGACCGGAGAAGTGGCCGTTTCTGAGCGAATAGATAGGGAACGCTATTCTTGGATTAACGTCACCGTAAGGGCTACCGATACCGGTCAGCCCCCACTCACTGGCCTCTCATTACTGTCCATACAAGTTCTCGATGAGAATGACAACAATCCTGTGTTTGTTGGCGAACAGAGACAGGCGTTTGTGGTCGCGGAGGACGCGCCCATTGGTTCACTCGTAGCGCAAGTTAACGCTCGCGATGAGGACTCCGGTGTTTTCGGCAAAATTACTTATTTATTAGACGCCAGCTCTACGTTTGGAAAGTTTAAGATCGATAGGGAAACGGTATGTTTGATCATTAAGTTAAAAAAACGTAGAGATTATATAAGAAAATATTTATCATTTAGGGCGCGATTGTTGTGTCAAATGTTTTGAATCGGGAAGACATGTCTCAATACAAGCTGTTGGTCCAAGCGGTTGATAATTATGATTACGGTTTCCTCACGGGTGAGAGTCGTAAGGCTTTCCACACGATTACAGTGACGGTGACCGATGTTAACGACGAAACGCCGACAATTGTTCCCCAAACGAGTGACTGTGCGGTCGTTAATGAGTTTCATCCGATCAGAGATATGATTACTTATGTGACAGCCATTGATGGCGACGACGGTATGAAATAATGCATAAAATGTTTAGCGCAAGTTAACGCTCGCGATGAGGACTCCGGTGTTTTCGGCAAAATTACTTATTTATTAGACGCCAGCTCTACGTTTGGAAAGTTTAAGATCGATAGGGAAACGGTATGTTTGATCATTAAGTTAGAAAACGTAGGGATTATATAATAAAATATTTATCATTTAGGGCGCGATTGTTGTGTCAAATGTGTTGAATCGGGAAGACATGTCTCAATATAAGCTGTTGGTCCAAGCAGTTGATAATTATGATTACGGTTTCCTTACGGGTGAGAGTCGTAAGGCTTTCCACACGATTACAGTGACGGTGACCGATGTTAACGACGAGACGCCGACAATTGTTCCCCAAACGAGTGACTGTGCGGTCGTTAATGAGTTTCATCCGATCAGAGATATGATTACTTATGTGACAGCCATTGATGGCGACGACGGTATGAAATAATGCATAAAATGTTGGATATATTTGGTGACCAATTGATGTCTTAACAGCTAATACTCCGAATGGGAAAGTCGTGTTTGCTATAATCGATGGCAATGAGGACCGGCTGTTTGACTTTGAACAGTCGCCTCCAAACGCGGCCAAACTTATCAGTCGATTCTCACTACGAGGTCGAGTCGGCAACTATACGGTGACAGTGAAGGCATCAGATGGTGGTCAGCCCCAACTCTCCTCCACAGCCAAAGTTCACATTTGCGTGACTGATGTGAATGATCACAACCCGGTGTTCGTGAAGCCGCCCTCCAATATAACCATAAGAATCGCAGAGAACGCAACCATTGGCTCTACTGTTGTCGACGTGAAGGCCACCGATGAGGACACGGGTGTGAACGCTGTCATCAGATATAAGTTGAGACAATTGCCAAACAATCACTGGAAGTCATTCGCCATTAACGATGTGACGGGTGTTATAACTGTAGCCAAACAGTTGGATAGAGAGGCGCAGAGAGTTCACGAACTCCGAGTCCAGGCCTACGACATGGGCGAACCCACCTCCCTGTCCACTGATTTAGATTTGACTATTTTGGTGGCAAATGTCGATGATTTTGAACCAGAGTTCACTCAAGACGTCTTCCAAGTGGTCTTTACTGAGAATACACTTCCGGGTATTTATTGTTAATTAATAATTCATTAACTTTTAATTCATTTGTAATTATCTAATAATATATAATTAATCCGAAAATATATTACAGAAATAGAAAAATACAAATTATTGCCGACAATAGACAAAGACGACTACGACCTCATAGACCCTGCGGTGGGCTTTAAGTCGATCCCCTGTTATTACATCGTTGGCGGCGATGGAGGCGATCGGTTCCGATTGAATACATTCACTCACGAACTGACGACAACTCAATCGCTAGACCGCGAACTCAAAGACAACTACACTCTTATAGTTCAGGCGACCAATGATTGCTTCAAAGTGCCGCCGAATATCACTCACTTCGACCATAAAGACAATTCACTTCTTCACGTGTTGATAGGAGTGCGCGATGTGAACGACAACTCACCCAAAATGATCAAAAAGGTGTTCACCGGAGGCTTCACGACTGATATCGACTTCGGAACCGTTTTAATGGAAGTGAAAGCTGTGGACAAAGACATGGGCGCCAACTCTGTCGTCAATTACTATATCATATCAGAAGTGCGACAAACATTGACCGAAGGTTTAGACACATTAAGCGCCGAACCATTTGCTATAAACCGGATTACGGGTGAAATTAGTCTCAACTTTGATCCTCAGAAGGATATGAAGGGATACTTCGAGTTCGATGTGTTGGCCAACGACACCGACGGACTCGCAGACAGTGCCAGAGTTTTTGTATGCATTTCAAGCGATCATTAATAGTATGGAAATATTTTAATGAAATTTTTAATTTGATGTTTAGATATACTTATTAAGAGACGACCAAAGGGTGAGATTTATCCTACGATTGACTCCACAAGAGTTGCGGGAAAAGTTGGAAAAGTTTAGGGATGTGTTGGCCAACATAACCGGCGCCACCGTTAATATCGATAGCTATAAGATTCACGAGAATAGAGACGGTTCTGTCGATCAGAAAAAGTAATTACCGTATAATTGATTGCCACTAAAGTGATAGAAATTACTAATTGTTTTGTTTTGTGTCAATTTATTTATCAGAACTGATTTATACTTACATTTTGTGAATCGCGAGGACAATAGCATTCTCGAAGTGAATGATGTTTTGTCTCTAATCGATAAAAATATTGAATATTTGGACGAATTATACAAAGAATTCAATGTTTTGGTCTCCGAAGTATGAATTACAGTGAGATTCGAGTAAATACTATATTAATTAAATTGATTTCTATCTAAAAGCCGACACAGAGTTTGGAGTATTTCTTGGAATGGGAGGACCAGTTGAAGGCATGCCTGTTAGGGACGACNTGTTTTGGTCTCCGAAGTATGAATTACAGTGAGATTCGAGTAAATACTATATTAATTAAATTGATTTCTATCTAAAAGCCGACACAGAGTTTGGAGTATTTCTTGGAATGGGAGGACCAGTTGAAGGCATGCCTGTTAGGGACGACAGCCTTTTTGGGCCTTCTTTTAGTGTTAGTCATCTGTTTGTGTCTGAACCAGAAGTCACGGTCTGTAGAGAAATGATCATAATTTGCGAGATTTGATCACTAATTGAGCGATCGATCGATAGGTATGAGCGACAACTGAAAGCGGCGACCGTTCCTGTGTTTGGCGGCGAAAGCCAATTGACTCGATGTAATGTCCCCAACACTAACCAACACGCCAGCGAGGGGTCCAACCCTATGTGGATGACCGGGTATGACAACCGGTGGTACGACAAGGACGAGGAACAGATCAGGTCTGTGTCCGTACTCTTCATATCTATTATCATATTTTTGTTTTCGTATAAACCATTGACTTATCATACGATGGCATCCCATATGTATAGCCACCGATCGAGTGGTGATAACTCGTTGGACGAGAACGCAATCGCCAGCCATTCGCCGGACGACTCGCTCGATGGTAGCGCCGGTCGCGAGTCCGGGGGCTCCTCCGCCTCCACCACCACTAACGACAAGCAGGCCCTCTGCAGGGGGTTGGCTGTGGGTCGGGTCACCCCTCAGAATATAACACTCCCGCAGAATATCAATCACATCACTATTAGTCATAATAATAAGAATAATAACAATAATATAAATATAGTGAAGAAATTAGCGCCAAAACCGCCCCAAAAGCCGCCGAATAGTGTTCCGGTCGGCGCTAAACAGGCGATGAGCGCCGGCAGTCACGCCCGACAGCCATCGCACCCAAAGCTCAGCGCAAATGGTGTCATATCTAAACCAATCGCTGCGTCCAATCAAAGAAGTATTAGTAATGTATATATTGAGTCCTATTCGCCCTCTAATCACAACAATATTAAGACATTCGCTAATAATTCGCAACAAATTCATAGCAATTATAATAACAATAATATCAATAATAATCATACTTTAAATCAGTTAAGTCTTATGAATCTGGAAACAACAGAATTGTAACTTATTTATACTATTATAGCAGAATATTTCATACTGTACAAAACTCACAAGCCTAAAATTTTTTATATCAACTTTATATTGTATTATAATTTATGTATTTTTGAATATTTAAAATATGTAAATATTTATTAATAAAATCTAATGTACGTTCAAAATGTATTATATTTTGTATTATGAATGAAATATTTAAAATGTTACCTAGACACAATTAGCTTTCATGCAATTCATGAATAATAAAATAATTTTCTCGTAATAAAAAGGTTACCCAGCTTGAGATGCGAGTATTAGCTTGAGGTAAGTATCATGAATGACCATGGTTAATTACAAATAAGCCAGGTCATTAATTTAAATTAACCGCAAGTTTATAAAAGTTGAGCTTAAAATGCATTCAAAAAATAAACTTTTATTTTGTGATGAAATGTATAATATTGCGGACAACATGTAAAATGTTAAGTCCTATTCACATACTATCACACACTCTGCCAATCTGTCCCCTCAATTGTGACTTATGTATTAAATTCAATACAATTGAGTACTATTTAAGTGCCACCCCTTCGTCACAAAGTTTATGTGCATTTGTCTGACCGTCTGAATGGGGGCTCAAAAGCATTGTAACGTTAGTTATGGGGATCCCAATGACAGACAATAAATTGACTATTGAGAGCCCATAGCGAGCCCTTTTCACACAACCACATCACCGCTTATTACTACAGTGAGAGCGCACACAAAAACGTACCAAAAGTCGCACTCAAATCGCTGTGTCATTCAAGCAGTGGACGACTGACTGAAACACACAAACACTTGACGACAACCACTGAAACCCCGTTCATCACCACAAAGACATCCACACCAATAGATCCAGTCATCGGTGGTAAGGATGGCAGTTAAGGTACAACAAGCGGCGCGCGTTTCGGACGTGTCTCGAGCGCCGGCACCCGTGGACCCGGCCTACCAGACGCTGACGATCACCAG